TTCCACTCAAATCGCTTACTGAAGAAGACGTCAGGCGATACATGAATCCCCCCGAGATTGGCGGTTTCCAACCAGATGTCGTGTGGGGAGATTTCAACTTCAAAACCCGGAAGTGTGGCCACGCATCTACAAATCACGGACTACGTATGAAAACGATTGAGACTACTCTGCGTAATACGTGACACTTGGACTACCTCTATGCTGGCGGCTCAACTGGTACTGAACATGTGTATCATCGACCTACCACCCCCGCCTCCCTCCAAACTTATAAGCTGACGGACTACGGTATCTGTGGTGACCACACCTTTGGACTCGATCTCCAGATACTTCCCACGAATCAAATCCATCGGCCCCAATAAATGCCAGCAATACCGCCGCCTCCGGACCAACGCCTCCCCTCCCATGGATATAACCGATATCGCCATCGACTGTATCACCTACGCAACAAATCCCGCGCGCGACTATTCCAAGCCGAAATCCGGGCGCATCAGAACCTACTACGGTCGTATCTCACTTTACATGGACCAGCGGAAGGGCTGCTACGAATCCTCGACCGCATCTGGCGCTATGCCACTAACCCACAAATATTTGGAGGGTTCTATTATGACTTAAACAGACCTTGGGTTCAGCGGCTGCCAAACCACTCGTTACGCCCACGTCTGACCGCCCAAAGCAATGCTCAAATGTTCAAAGATAATGCGTACCAACGACGGTCTCCGCGCCAACCCTGCATACCGGGTACCGATGACACAGACGCTACCCTCGCTGGCTACTTTGAGGCCCTAATCAACTCTACAAACCCGTACGTGGTTCCACCGGATACCGAATCCGCTCCTGATGTCACTTCCACCATACGCCCCGACGATGTAATGGAGGCAATTCTACGCTATCCCAATAAGGGACCTGGCCCCGACGGGATCCACATCCTCCTCCTGAAGACCGCAGTGGAGCGCTCTACCGAGCGCCGGACATTAGGACACCCCGACGCCAATAGCCCACTGATTAGACTCCTTGCCGAAGTATTCACTGAGCTACTGAAGGCGGGTACCTTCCCCGCAGCCCTGAACTGCAGCCTCCTGACAGCGCACCCAAAGAAAACCGATGCAGATTTCACCTCCGCCGCCGACTTCCGCCCCATCACGCTTACGCAAATAGTCAGACGCATCTTTGAAAAGTGCTTTCTTAATCTGATTATGAGCCACCCCGGCTCTGCTACCCATGCTACCCAAGCTGGCTTCAAATCACGGTACTCCTGTCATACCCAAGCACTTGCCGCCATGGAATCTGAGACACAGTCAGAGAGTGGAACGACGTATGTTTTAGGCAAGGTCGCTCTCCCACGCCTATGGGTACTTCTGCGTCACGCTGGAATGCCCGAAAACTGGATCAACTGCCTCCGCGCGCTGTTTGGGAGGGTCCCTATCCGAGTGACATACCGCGACACGCTCTCGTCTCTATTCCATAGAACGAATGGCATCCTACAGGGCTCAATCGTCGGCCCCCAGCTCTTTATTATCTACATGGATTCCTTAGCTGTCACGCTAGCACAATTTCGGCCCAAGCTCCTCCGCTCTTATTTATTTGTCGATAACACACGGATCCAGGCCCCTCGATCGGTTTCGCTCCAGCCCTTCTTAGATGACATTGTTGCGTGGGGACGCCAATCTGGCCTCGAACAGGGTGTCATTAAACCCCGAGTACGATCTGCCGACTTGCGACATGCGGTACCAACCCTCTGTATAAATGGTGAGCTTATCACGCCAACGCTTGCAGACGCACCTTGGAACACACGTTACCTCTCCCTAAAACTGGCGCCCACACATGCCGAACCGAAACACTCCAAATACCTGGGGATCCCACTCTCTCACGGAGTACCAGGAATTAACCTCGCTAGACATATGGAATCCCTGGTTGCAGCATTGTCACTGGGTATCGCCTATTTCCACGCTTATGGCTTCCATGGCTTCAGCTGGCGACACCCCCGCAACCGACTGGTGATGTTCAAAGCATTTATCCTATCCACGGCTACATATGGGCTGAACATTATTGCCTCGGCTCCGCCTATATGGAAGGATGTGTTGGACCCCCTATTCGAGCGCTTTAACTCAGAACTCATCCAAGCAGCAGCCATCATCACGGGCACTAAATACCCTCGGTTTCCCAAACATCAAACAAACTTACTTCACTTTTGCGGCCTGCTCCCCGCGCGACCATTTGCGGACTACCTCGGAGGTTGCCTAAGAATACAACTCGACTCAATGGCCAGCACAAATCTACTTACCCCTCTGACGCAGCCCGCCTAGGCCCACGATAAACCATCACTGCGCTTCCCGTACAGTATCTATACTCACCTAAAAACTGTACACAAAGCCGCGGGCGGGCGTACACCCGACCATGTAGCCCTCCGCCAACGCTGTGACGACATCAGGAAAAACTCAACAAAACGTTGGTCCAACAAAGAGATCGCGGCAATGGCCCGGCGCCAATACTATTACGAACTGGTTATGGGTAAACCGCCAACCTCAAACCGAGACACGGCCAGACACGACAGCTTCAATCGCTGCTTTGAATCTACACCAATCCGGCTCTGTGCTATGATTGTAACGAATACGTACATGATCACATTGCTCGACTACCGCACCGACGGCTGTCTCTGCCCTGTCTGCCCCGGTAGCCACAAGTTCACTACCAGCCACTTTACCTGCATCCAACAACTGATTCGACGCATCCTGGTAGACCGGAAACTGACGCCCATTGGCCATGACCTCCTTCAGCAATTACAGGAGTGCCACGACTTCCACGGTATCTGGACCCTCCACGAACACCTTGGATCTTTTCTCCAGTATGTTGAAGAACCACCGTACCCTCACCCCTCCCTGACACATCAACAGATGTTCCCCATACCCCGGCTAATCACGCTGTTGAAGTACTGCTTCCAAATATCGGTTCAAACCAAATCATCGCGCTGGTTGGTTCCGACTATGATACTTCCAATCCAGGCCAGCCAACACATACCGATTTCATTGGTGGTCTGGTGCGGCATTGTCTTACCCCCATTCTCGCTTCTCGACCGGATTTTGACGGATAAGCTGGTCCTTCTCGGTATTTCATACTCTGCACTAACCCATTTCGCGGCACTACACGGCACAGTCCCGATCCGTACCACAGAGGTGGGTACTCTACTTAGTAGGTCAGCAAGCGAATATATGGAACATTCGATAGTAACAGTGTTTTGTCAACACCGGCCCGAATTGACTCTGCACATATCTTCCGTTGTCGACTTACTTGGCCCAAGCTTCAAACGGGAATTTACTGGCCACTTCTTCCCATCAATCTTTCCTGAACCACTACAGCGACTATGAGAGTCATACCATATGTTCATACATTGTATCATACATACATGCCATTTTTGAAATAAATAATATAAATCCCTATTATTGTCCAAGAATATTTGGTTTGTTACCCAATATCTATTATGATTTACACAATACATGTCCGAAATGCAAATCTACCAACGCCACAATACGTGCATCGCCAGATAAGCCTCGAGCCCGACGTCTGGTATCACGGGACTGCTGTTTTTATATACTATCTCGCTGTACGTGGCAAGTGTATTGAATGTAAAGGATTTAACTTTCATCTGCACGACCCGCAAGTATTAGCAGCACTTGACCCGCAAGTACTCGAAGTACGTCCAGAACATGCACGACCCGCAATTATTAGCAGCACTTGACCAGCAAGTATTAGAAGCACTTCTAGAACATGCGCAGCTCGACTTCTCAGCTTATTTGACACACAGGAGTGGTGTTGATGTTGCAGCAACAGTTTATAGAGAAGGAACCACAGGAGTGGTGTTTTGATGTTGCAGTAATAGTTTCAAGAGAAGGGAACTATCCGTGATTTACAAGTGAGTGTCAAGGAAGCGCACATGCAAAGGCTATATCTGCGAATGATGTATTGCTTATCAATGTCGGTGTTGAAGCGTGACCAATGCGATCCTGTGGCTATCATCTAGCCTGACTACAGGACAAAAGCAAAACTTTTGTCCGCACACAAAAACTTCTACGTTTCACACAGGTGCGCTGCTGTAACGCTGCTGGGCAAACATCATGATCCTTCCTTAGTATCGACATCCTCGTGCTTGTGTATTGCTGCTATACGTGTCTGCTCAGCTAAGGAGCGAAGTTTAGGTATACAATCCCGCGCCACTTGCGCACTAGTCAAACAGTACTATACTATCTATTTCAGATCAAATTGCATAGGTGTATCGTCGTACAAGTCTCACTATTCGCCACTCTACATTTCGTCAATCATAACCCGCAACTCCTGAATGTCTCGTATCTTATCCTCCTCCTCTTCTTTGGCGAGCTCCTCTGCTTCTGCTTTCTTTTCCGCTTCTTCCTGTAGCCTTCGTCTTTTAAGTGTACAATTCTCTCGTTGGTGACGAATAGCTAAACTACTCACGTGAGATCGGAAAGTTAAGTGATGGTATACAGCTTTGTCCTTTATTTTTCTTTTAGATCTAGGGTTGAATCCTCGTGCTCGCCTGACGTGTTTTACGAATATGAGATCGTGAAAGTCCGTTGGTCAGAAGTGACCCTCACCTTGAAAATAATTCTTGCCAGTTCCAGACGGACAGCCATCTACAACGCAGTCAACCATCTACAACGCAGTCAACCATCGTCTAACGCGCAGCAAATAAGTACACATACACGGTGTGTGAAACTGTAAATGTGTGTTGTGAAAATAGTGGCGCCCAACATTTGATAATTGATTTCTATTGATCAAGACTCAAATAATCAATTTCTGGTTGGTTGATTTATTTTAAGGATCTCAAGAGAAATTGGCCAATCAAAACAGAAGTAGAATGAACATATATGTACCCAAATGTAATTTCTACTTTTTTTAGATGGTCATGAATAATCGAATATATATAATAAATTCTCTCACACACTATCTAACAGTATATACCGCTTGAGAGGACCTCGCTTTTTAACGCAATGCAGCCCCAGAAAAAGAAGCGTAAAAAGGGCTCAGGTGGTGTACGTGCTGGTGCTGGGCGAAAGAGTGTGGCCTCTGGGATCACGAAGACCCTTCCGGACGAGACCCTTCCGGACCGCCAGATCACGTTGTTCGGTGGGTTAGCCAGATCAACATTATCCAGAACAGCATCACAGGAGACAGCAATCGCACATGCCAGCTCAGATTCCCAAGCACTTGACCAAGAGGGCGAGGCTGATGAGCAGACAATAGTTTCACCCGCAGCCTCCATAGTAGGAGACACGACCATACTAGTGGCCGCCTATGCGCCCGATAGTGGCCGATACTACGGTTGTAAACGAGGAAGCTGTGACAACCACTGGGTCAACTACTATCGTGCAAACTTCCGTAGAAACCTTGGACGTGTACCTCCCTGTCGAAACAGCTGCTCACCCATCGTACAACAATGCGAGGGACAGTACAAACACACCAGACCTAGACTATAATGCTGCCCCCAATATAGTTGTTGATTATATTGAGAAGATCTATGACAAAGTAAGTCGTGCATGTAATAACTTTTACCCTATCATGTTGTTGAATTTTATGCGCGGTTCGATGTGGATACGCGCTCCAGATCCTTCGTTGAACTTGCGGAGCGCAAGAGATAGCAATCTAGTACCTAATGCTTACTACTAAGCATTTCTCCTATTATTCCGGTTCGGATTTATAGGGCCACGTGTACGATGCTGTCGGCGCTGTGTTGGTTGTTGAGCCGTATGTTTATCAGTGTTCATTGAAACTGGCTCAGGAATGTAAGCACCATCGGCCTGCATAGTCGAAGGCAAAAAGGCCATACTATTATCGCTCACGGTTTCTTCCAGTACTACTACATGGGCTTTCTCTTCGACTTGTCGGTTGTGAGCTTGTGCTTCCTCTGCTTCAGCTGTCACACGTTCAGAAACATCAACATCATTTCTCAATTGTGAATGAAGATGTCGGACATCGCTTTGAGTCTCAGCAGTTGTATGGAAACGCTCGTTGTTTTCGTAGAATTGCGCTCGCGCTGTGTCAAAATGCATGGGCAATTTCAGGAATATATTGGATCCGTCTACTCTTTATTCCACTCTTGAGCCAACATTCGATTCTTCTCGGCCCGGGACACATCGTACCACAGCCATTTCTGAGCTGTGCGCATGTCACGACACAGACATGGCATCCCTTGTTCTCTAGCTGTATGCTGATGATCGTAAATGTTAGGGCGAGTTGTGTATTACGCAGCCTTTTTCCTAGATTTACCAAAAAGGTATCGTCAAACAGATGTCGTAGGTGAGCAACACCGAATGATTCATCGGTAGAAACATAATCATCCGGCCATGAATATAGTTCACCGATACAGTTTGGATCATATGGCCCTTCATATGCACGCACGCGAAATCTCTCACCGGTAAGTTCAGTAAACAGCATCGCGCACATATCAACCACATGTGTGTCAGAGTGTCCAAGATCAGGTGCTCCGTTATATCTGATATCTTGATTGTAATTACGCTTATGGCGCATGTATGCCATAAAATAAGTTGCTAGCGCACTACTAGTTATCCTATAACCGAACTTGCGCGATACAGTTTGATGGACTACGGATTCAACGCTATTAGTACTGCGAAAGCACATCCAGAGTCGGAGTCCATCGCTGACTGTCTGATTGCTACTGTAGGGTTACTCCGGGCGGGTCGGATACATATTCATCAGCAATTATCCCGAGTATTTTTGAATAACTTTGCCCCACTCTGTGAATCAACTTTGTCTTTTATAGCATCAAACACTCTTTTCACGCGATTGTGCAATACCCTAGGCCCTGGTACTATCCTCCTTACTATCTTCCGTATATACCTCTTACCGCGGGCTGTTTCTAAGCATTGATTATTATAAGTTTTTTCGCCTTATCATGTGCATTATCTATGAAGAGTGCATCGCGAAAGAGCTGCCAGAATTTCCAAGGGTAACCATGACTCTCACTGGCTGGTAGCATATCCATCAAATGAAATACATCCTTCAGAACATGTCTGTGTACGCGAATAAGCTCATGTGCATCTTCGTTCTCAAACTCAGCAAACATCCTCTCAAACATAGTTACTAACCCATCTTCACCCAATACATCAAGAGCGTTTTGCACTTTCTCAATACTAGCATCACCGCCATCGGAATCATCGTTCTCATCAAAACCGAGCTCATTATTTCGTACATCTCCATACTTGTCCACTAAGATTAAAGACAGTGCGAGTGCTGGGGTAAGTGATAAGGCCATCCTTGTACGTGCGTAAACTCGTGTGTGTGAGTGTGTATGTATTAATCCCTACTTACGGTTCTACAACGATGATTTGCTCGCTCTGAAGCAGCAGCTGTCGTCACTGTAACGGGCGCCGTTGCCTGACTCTTTCCCTGAATACACCTGTAAGTTGTACATGGTAATAAAAATTAAAGATGTTTAAACTAGTTGGTTGCATGCCAGTATGTGCTTATGAGTTTGTACTTATGTTTGTTTTAATATATGTAAGCGTGTATGCATCAATGCAAAATAAATACACACAAACCCCCCATATATATACACACAAATATTTTTATCTTCTTATATGTATTTATCTAGGTGTACATACCATGTATACACACACCATACATACAGACACACACATACACACCCCATATACACACATATATATTTTTATAATTTTATATGTTTTTATCTAGTTGTACACACCATATATATACACACCATACATACTCGCCCACACACACATACCATACATACAGACATAAACACACACCCCATATAAAAACACATACACACAAATATTTTTGTATACTTATATATGTACTTATCTAGGTGTACACACAATGTAATATATATATATATATATATATATATATATATGATGGATATGTTTATATTTTTATTAGTTACGTGTACACGCCACATACACACAAACTATACATACACGCACACACACACACACAAACCCCGCACACGTACACACGTTCACCATAGTAGTAGCTGATGCATCGATTATTAGTGATGCATGCGCATGCTTTGTTCAAAAACCATAGCACAACTTACACGTTTTTCTTGTTGGAAGATTCCCTCTCATATCACGCAGCCGCACAAAGGTTGAAAATGCTCAAGGTTGTAAAATTTCATCCACAGTTTTATTGTATTATACTATCGATAATGTGCTATAAGTAACAACTAACGAGTAAGTAGCGCACATCATATGTATTAACAGCATGTAGGCATGGTAGTATTTAGCGTACTTCTTTAGCTAGTTGAATGTTTGTACCAGTATATGGATGTATTGGCATCAACCAATAGATCGACGCGCTTGAAGATCATTCGAGGCTCTCTGAAGTCTGAGAGAGGTCAAGGGTCGAAATCATACCAATCAACAGTGGTTCTAAGGTTTAACGTAGTGGAATGTGACTACTTGTTCCAATAAAATCCTCATGTATTACCCTTGACCTTATTGACTAATAGGATCTATTTTGAGGATCAAGCTTAACATTTTATTCCAATAAATTTCTTATGTATTACAGACCTTGACATGACCTTGACCTTATCGACTAATGGGATCTATTTCTAAGGTCTAGCTTGACATTTTGTGATGTGTCTATTGGTAAGCTCGACATCCCTTGACGTGTCGACTACCTCTATTTGTACCGCTCCCTACATAAGTAAGATATCATAGTTTACTGTGATATGACAGAATAATATATTGAGTATTGTACTGGTTATATTTTGAATATTTTCTTTGTACGTGAATATAGTGTATACTCAACGGTCACATATCTATAATTTTGATGAACTGCATAGTATATATATATCGGTATATACTATTATATATATGTGTGTGTAGTGTATAGTGTATATGATCACTTAATTCGTGTGTTCACGTTGATAAAAATGGGAAGTTTAACTATTTTTATACATATTTATACTTTTATATTATTGTATATAGTACTGTCCAACAATAATAGTGATTACGTATATATGTTTGAAATTGTACAAGTTGTACAAAAAAAATATTATTTTTATACATATGATATGAACAATTTGTATTAATATTTAACATATAGTATTTTATGTTTCGTCCCATGAGAGATGCCCCTGGCACTCAGCATTGCTATTAACTTGTTTGAATTTGTCAAATAATACAAAAATTAAAAATTAAAAATTGTCGTCGTAACGATACAAATACCTGACTTTTCTGTTATAAGATGCTCATATTATGTGAATAATAAATTGTACATAGCCATAACCTTTATACATAATACAATTATTATAGAAAAAATACACACCAAGTACATATAATGTAGCGCTTCGAATTTTAAAAATATGGAACGGTCATAACATATGAAACTACAGTTGGACACTCAGTATTTGACTTACAAGCATATAACCTTTCTTACTGCTTGTGGTGTCTTCTTGTGAATTGATTCGCCTTGTCGTGCTGGTACATGAACCATGGTGGTTCCTTTCGATGTCCAGTTCGAGGTTTGCATGTGGTGTCTTGTGTATTGATTCACCTTGCTGTGTTGGGACATGGACCATGGTGCTTCCCTTCGATGTTCATTTCGAGTTTCTAGTTGGGTGAACAGTCCGGCCAAAAGGCAGCTTGGTTCGGTTGGGAGTGTCGGACCTGACAAGTATTAGAGTGTCACCCTTAGGACTATAAAAATATTCATCATTAAATGTTGGCTCGAGTATTTATACTCATTTCTTTTTGCATGAAAATTATATGACCAAGGAGGAAAATCTCTGTGGGGAAAATAAAATTGTAGTCTGATCCCATTTGGGTGCTCGGACTCTTATGTTTGTCCATTGTGTACCAGGTTTCCCTCACCCCTTGCGGGCACCGATTGTTGAGAGTTTTAAAAACTCCGACCCATGTTCGTACGAGTAGGCCTTACCTGTACTTACCTGGCGGCCTTAGATTCCTGATCTGTCCATCCACAGCACCTACTTGTTACTATGTATCACCTTAATGCAATTACTATTACTCATACATACTTATCTTAATGTATTTAACTATTACTTATACATGTTTTTAGTACCTAGTTGACTATGCCATTTACCAATATATAGCACCCGTTCGACACACCCTTGTTTCTGTTCCACGGTCATAGTTCTTCTGTTATCCCTATGATGGCGTCCTCAATCGCTACTGTTGTTGTGTCTCCATCTTATGGGTGGCTAACTTCCATGTCTAGCTACGTATGTGTGTATCTTGTTAAGCTAACTTCCATTGTATACTTGCACCGTCTATGGTTTACGTGCACTAATTATGTACACACACTATTACTCGTGCTTTTCCTCCACCTATTATCCTTATGGTACTTTGTTTTCTTACATTGTACAGTTTGTATCTTGAAATATTTGGAGACAATCAGATCGATTTTATCTTTTCATAGAATCACTGAATCACCCACTTGTTTGTGGGGCTTCAACAATACCTTGATATCCAAATATGGCCATGTAAGAACTCATTCTAAAAAACGTACTATTATAATACATTTTCTACTTACAACAGTATGTGAACTTAATAATAAAAATATTGAAATAACTTCGTGAGCCTCCCTTCGGTATATTTATTACAGTCTATGACTATTTACGTGAGATCCACGAGCCTCGTCTAACCACGTTTATCTCAATTCTGGGAAACAGGTTTTCTTCATCCAAGGGGTTCTACTACAAAATAATGCAAAATAAAATAATTATATATTCGCGTTTCATTCGCGCCCTGCGTTTGCGGTTTATATGGCACACCTTTCTTATGGCATATGCCTGATACGAGTACTAGCGATTCCATTACGTCATCGTAGAACTCACTACCGTTATCAGTACATATAATACCTGGCCACCCGTGGTCAGCAAAGACTTGGCAACATAATTCTGTCACGGTCTGTGTATTCTTATCCTTTAATGGATAGAGCAAGTTAAACCGTAACGCCACATCAAAGAAGTGGCATACGTAACGGTCGCCTGTGCGCTCGGACGTGGGCAGGTCAACCAGATCAATGATGACCCTGCGCCATAGAACATCTTCAGTCACACTCTTAAGCGGTGCGAACCCATAGCGCTTGATCTGATTGAGATCACAGTCTGTACATGACTGATATACTCTGTCAACTAAAGTTGCCAGCTTCGGGTGCGCGATCCTATTTCGCTTGGCATCTTTAAGTGCGTCTACTACGTTCTGGTACTTCAACTTATGGTTTTGCGTCAGCCAAGCAATAATGCTTTCATCATTCTGCTCCTCCAGAATAAAGGTAGGTGTTAAGAATCCATTTGCGTGGTCTCTAAGTCTGTAGTGTTTCTAGACTCCTGTCCTTCTTTTGCATGAGTGTCATAAGTGCGCTCATGTGCGTTTGATACACCTGATCTATTTAATAGTCGCATTATATGTGTATACGCTTCAGGATTGTCTTTCATTAATCCCTTTAAAAATAAGGGTTGAAAGACCTCGGGCTTGGACTTTATGTTATTAAACAGAGTCCTAGCCAGAGACTGACGCTTCTTAACAGTGTCATTAGCAAATTGTATTTCTTGTGCACAGACTTAAATGCTGTGTTGCCTTTGAACTGGTTAACGTTCAATTGGGTAGAGAGTGGAATCTCTGATTCTTTGACCTTGTTAAGGAAGGCCTCAGAAGGGGTCCATTTGGTTGTTCCAATGGGACCTATACGACATATTATAGTATGTCTCCAGGGCGTCGTCTGGACGGCTCGGGTACCCTGATATAAGAAAGTATCTACTTCCCTATCTAAATATACTGGCTCGCATTGTATCATGCTTATCAATTTATTGAGCCATGGATATTTACTTCATAATGGGCAACACAACGTGATGGTAGCTATATGTATATGAACATAATTTAATAGCTGGGCAATTAACTGCCATGGTGGATTAACCTACGCATTATGTTTAGAGAGGTCTATTTGAAAAGCGTCTCCCAAAGGATAATTTAAAGTCCTGTAATTCGATAGTTGTGCATTATGATGTGCAGCGAACATATCTATGGTATGTGGCCCAAATATTTTTTGAGCCAGTTCAACCCACCTGGGATTACACTTCCAGTCGGTGGCTAGTAACTCACGTACGGATTTATTAAAGTCCGGTACAAAGCGTGATAACATATCCAGTAAATGGTTATGTATTCCTGGCAGATGTTTGATATCAAAATGAAACTTTGATATTGTATCATGCCAGCAACTCAGTAATTGTGAGTCGGGTTTCATCTCTTTCATATATTGAAG